ATGATAAATTCTGATTTCTTATAAAACTAAATGAATTTATTATGATTTTTAATACTAAATTTATAATAAATTATGATTTAGTATAAAATTTATTAAATATATTCTGATTTTTTATATTAAATGTAGAATATGGTTTATTATAAAATTTAATAAACATTTTCTGATCTTAATAAATATTTTAAAAAATACTAACTACTTAATATTTTATTACTTGAAAAATATTTTATGTTTTATATTATAAAGTAACTAACTTATTCTTTTTTTTATATTTTGTTAATTCTTTTTATAAATATTTTATTTGAAATATTAAATAGAAATATTAATGGAATAATCTATATTAATATACTATATTATATTAATATAATATACTAATATATTATATTTTTAATGTACACTAGTCGACAGATGTCGACATCTTGTCGACATAATAGGAAAAACTGTAATTTTTGGGTTATTTGGACCGATTTGATTTCGGAAATGTCGACCGACATAATGTAATTTTTATATTACCATCCATTTTCATGTCAGTGAGTCTCGACATCAACATATGTCGGGCGACATTAGCGACATTTGGCGACATTTGAAACCATTGTTGTCGTACCAAGTTAGGAACCTCATCACGTGATCTCATCAAATATATCCAAGAATATCGTGTATAATCATCTACAAACAATAGAAAGTAATGGAATCCTCCCATTGAAGGGATAGGATATGGCCCCCATACATCAATGTGAACAATATTAAAAGCAGAAGTACTTCTTTTATTACTTGGTTTAAAAGACTGTCTACAATGCTTTCCTAACTGACAACTCTCACACTCCAAAGTAGATAATTAAACAGAGTCAAACAACTTTGGGAAAAGACATTTCAAAGAACTAAAAGAAAGATGTCCCAAGCGATTCTACCAAAGCATAATCTGGTTCACTGACTCTGACCCACTACTACTGTTGTTGCTAACATGATGCCCCTGATGTCTTGGAATCTCATCCAGAAGGTGGACGTCATTCACTTCACAACCACTCTCAATCATCTTCTTTGACTCCAGATCCTGCAAAACACAATTACCAAGAAGAAAGGTCACGAAACAATTCAATTTTTTTGTCAACGAACTAACAGATAGTAGGTTGGTATGAAGCCTAGGGGCATATAAAACATAAGACAG